TATATATAGTTTATACAATGTTATTAGTTTGAGATGAAACAAGTGTCTTCAAAAACCAACCAACCAAAAAAATAAAAAATAAATAAAAAAAACAAACAAACAAAAAAAAAAAACCACGAGTGTTGAGTTTAAAGTATTTCCTTAATGTATAAAACAAAGCCTGGTGTACAAACCTGAAATCCTCCCTCATTTAAAGCTCTGGCTCCATAAGCGATCCTCTGGCCTCCCTCCAGTGTAGCAGCTATGAAGGGGTGGTGTTTCCAGCGCTGGAACTCCTTGAATGGATTCAGGTAGGGGTTTGAGTAGTCCAGACCAACCTGGGATAGAAGAGGGAGTAAAACAAGTCAGCCACCTCTGTGCTTATAAGGCTGAGTTCACCTGAAACTCATCAGACTGAAGAAGTCTCTTGGAGGAGAGACGAAACGTTTCACTAAAGAAGAGCCCATCCAGAGGACCTACTTATTTTTTCTTTTTGATTTTCCTGGACAGTTACTTGKATTTGGGGTTACAGAAGCAAAATAAATTATTTACAAGTAGATRCAAGCACATAGAAATAACAGGGGTTAACTTGTTGTTAGCGTTAGCAATAGCATTGTTTTAGGCTAATTACTTAAAATAGCACAACTCACTGCTCACCCGGGCAAAAACAAGTCAACAGATATTTAAAGCTTCTTTGGATCCTAAATGTTTGACCCAACCTGAAAAAAAAATTGTAGCTATGAGGCTTTTGAAAGCTTTCATCTGGCTCATCGTTTAATACGGGGTCTGCAGCACCAGACGGTTTATGTCGATCGCCTCAACGCCAAGTAATCCTCCAGATTATATGACAAGTCGTTTTAATTAAGACAATATGAATCACAGCCTAAATGTACGCATATTTTTAGCGATATCTCATCMGCACCAGCCCATTTAGGGCATTAGCATACTCGCTGAGATCTATTTTGCTGTGTTTTGAACCGGAGCAAATCACTTCCTGCTGGGCGGCAGGAAGCCCATCTGACATTTGCACGTCAACCAGGTCCTAAAATGTAAAACAGTTCCTTCAGGAAAAATGTTCCTAGTTGTCTTGATTATGAAAAGTAAGGTGAGTTGTCTTGATTATGAAAGCACTCACCACAAASCCTAAGGCGACGAGAGGCTCTCCTTCATTGAGGTGATACAGGAAAGATCCTCCATACGAGTGTCTGTCCAGGGGCCAGCCCACAGAATGCTCCGTTCTGCCAGGCCTCCATTTCTTCTCATCAATCACCCACAACTACAAAATAATTGTGAACARGAGTTTTAAAGCGTGAAGAGATTTTTATAGATCATGGGAGTCGTTATCGTCTTCACAGCTGCTTTAAAACTCTTATCTGACATGACGCAGGCAGAAATCATTTCCCAAACAAGGTTAAAGTGCATCACGTTGTATTTAGTTAAAACATTTACTTTATGATTTTAAACCTAATGTTCCTTACAGCAGTATTTCATCTAAATACACCATTCAAAGTTGCTAAAGAAAAAACAGATAGGGAGTTTAAATGTGTCAGTATTTCTGCAGTAAATGTTAATTACCTCCTTAAGGCCAATGGCATAAGTCTGGGGATCACAGTTCTCACGCAGGTTGAATTGCTTATAAAGCTGCTTGGCTAAGTGGCCGTGGCAGCCTTCTCCAAATAATGTCACTTTAGCGTGAAGCTCCATTCCTCGCTCAAAAACATCCTGAAACAAAGGAACAAAAGTTATAGATAGGAGAAGGTAATGAAAAAAAGAAAAAAAAGAACAGAAGATTCTCAAATTCCCTGAAAAAGCATGAAGTTTTGCATTTCGACTGCTTTTTCAACCATGCTTTCAACCATTTGTAGTCCAACCGGTTCTTTCAACAGTTCTGAAAATTGCTTCTTTGCAAAATAAAATATACAGTACATGCCAAACGGTGTAATTTTTGCCTTTTTTCTTACATGCAATTTAAGAAGTGAAAATAAATTGCATCTTAGTGACAGGGTGCTAGAGACAAAAGTGCTAGGTAAGATTTGCTTTTTGCAAAAGTCTTTCTTAAAAAAATGAGGAAAGTGGCTATTCCTTTGAGTAAAAAACTTGAAAACCTTCAGAAAGCCTGAAAAAAATACATTTTTTCCCCCTGAAAGGCAAATCTAAATAGATTAGATGTGGCTCAAAATCTTTACCTGACGTGCCATAATGTTGAAACACTTACAAATTAGATAAATCAGATTAAAAATTGATGATTGTTCTTCTTTCCTTTATTTATTATTTATGTAGAACTYCAGTATTCAAGCTAATAAGAACATAAATGTCTTGACATTTAAATTTATATGTGGACCTAATAGCTTAAAGACAACAAAAGGATCTAGTAATAAATGAACTTTCACAGTTTAATACCTTCGGGGAGCCGTCCTTGGCGATGCCGACATCATTAGTGGCGATACCTTTTACACTTCCATCCTCGTGGAACAAAACCTGGGAATAAAGCAGATCAAAATTAACATTTCAGGCAWGAAGGTGAAAGAACATTTTCATTAAAATTCATTGTGTCTGCTGGCAGACAAAGACATTATTAGCCAATATTTGTCTGTCACGTTAAATGAAAAAGTGTTTTTATTGTTCAGTTTTGACATGTTTGCAATAGTGATGCAAATATTGATTTTTCTGCTATAAACAAAATAAATTCGAAGCAACAGTTTTAAAATTAATTTGACTCTAATATGCACATTCAGCTTTAGTTTGAGAGCAACTGTAAGCCAACAGATGTGTTTAGAACTTGTTTTTTAAAACCATATATTGAGCCCACTGTTTGAAAATGACCAAACTAAATGAAATATGTTATTGAAAACGATGTTGACAATTCATCYCAGGGAAATGACTAAACTCAAATCAACATGTATTCCAGACTGCCTTCAGTTTATCTGTGGGTCTTTCTTTAGCCTTAGTTTTTCCTAAAAGTTAACAGATTGTGATCAAAAATGTGAAGCTGTCAGTGCTGGGAGGACCCTGCCTCTCTGACTTCAAAATCTCCTGGTTTCCTTTCACACTTTGCTTTGAACCCCCCCGTCCATCTGAGCAGTGGACTGTCATCCAATCAGCTTTCATGAATCTGGTTGAGGCTGACAGTAAATCCCTTCATAATTCATCTGCAGGCTCGTGTGATACGCTGAAGGGACTGAGCACCATGTGAAAGCCAGCCTGATCCGTGCCGTCGCACTGCTTCCTTTAAAACGTGTTGTGTTTTAGGTCAAAGGTCGTTTCAAATCTTCTCTGTGCATTTGTCTTCCTGTSAATCTGAAACCAGGTTTGTTTTTCTATTTAAAGAAAGCTGTGTTTGTGTTTTAAGGTTTTTCCTTGTGCAAACATCTGACTGGGCTTTTAGTCTTCAGGTTTATGTCTGTTTGTTTTTTATAGTGAAATCTTCAGAATGTTTTTGCCTTTATGGTCGACATAATGAACATCTTAAAARGTATTCTTCACTTGGCTGCATTTTGAATTTTTGTCCTTTTAAAGGAGCCATTTCAGCCATTGTTGGTTTCGTTCTGTTTGTCAGCTCATCAGTGTCTTCTTTAGTTTGTTTATTATAATATGGTTATAATATAGTTTGTCTACTCTTAATGTTCCTGCCATCTCTCTTCCCTATCTTTCTTTTTGCTTTAGATTGTTCCATTTGAATGGGGACCCGGTTTAATAGTTTTACAAAACAAGCTGAACATTTAAATCAGGGATGGGAACTGGCAGCATGTGAGTGACTTCCATCTGGCCAGCCAATGATGACCCCCACAAAAGTAAAAAATATATATGCATAGATTTATTTATTTAAGTAAAAACAAGGCTTTTTGGGGGGTGGAGCTACACTATCTGTTCACAGAATTTCAAGYCAACCTTATATGTTTAGTCTGCTTAGAGACTGACCGCCATGAAAGACTTTAAAACAAGTCACCACTACATGTTGCACAAAGCTAAATATGAGAAGTTAACTGAAGTCARGAGTACATAAACATCAACTTTTTACCAGAACCACAACTATGCAGGAGGGCTTGTTATGCTGTTACACTTCAGCTTGTAAGTGTTTATTTTTTGTTTGCTTCAAATGTTTTTCATTCATATTTATATTTATTCATATTTATTAAAGCAGAATACAACTGTTAGACATGCATTTGAACATGAAATATGTTAAGTTACAACAATGGATGTTAGTTTAATAAACATAAATACTGTACATACAAATACAAACATTTTTAACTCAGGCTCATTTCCYGTGAGAGTCAGARTCCTCCAAGGTTGCCCTTTGTCACAGATTCTTMTCATAACTTCSTTTTTGGTGACTTTAAGATCCCATCTCTGCTTTTGGGGGATGATGTGGTRKTATTGGCTTCATCAGATCGTGATCTCCAGCTCTCACTGGAGCGGTTTGCAGCCAAGTGTGAAGCGGCCGGGATGAGGATCAGTGCCTCCAAATCAGAGACCATGGTCTCGAGCCGGAAAAGGGTAGGCTGCCTCCTCCGGGTCGGGGAGGAGGTCCAGCCCCAAGTGGAGGAGTTTAAGTATCTCGGGGTCTTGTTCATGAACGAGGGAAGAATGGAGCGGGAGATTGACAGGTGGATTGGTGCTGCGTCTGCAGTGATGCGGACACTGTACCGGTCTGTAGTGGTCATTTACCGGTTGGTCTACGTTCCTACCCTCATCTATGGTCACGAACTTTGGGTAGTGACCGAAAGAACAAGATCACGGATACAAG